TTGTGCGCGTGACTTCGCTACGTAATTGTGTTTCGTGAAAACCGCCTCGTTTTAGGTTGTCTAGGGTTTAAGTTCTTGACAAGAGGCTTGTATTGTGTTTGACTGATAAAAGTAATTGTGCAAATTAGATAGTGAATGCGTGTTGAAATGCATTCTGTAATATTTCACTGGTTCGGGTGACGTGGAATTTTGCGCGCGCGCCGATTAGAGACTAGAGATTATAGAGCGGATTAGAGATATGGTTTAGATTTTGGACAGCGCAGTCCTATATCGAGGGCGTCTCCCTGTTGATTGTTTGGAAATCGTCATTGCAATTGTGCCGTTACGTTAAGTGCCCTTTTTTGTGTGTTGACTGTTTTGTTTGTTTTACGTGTCAACGAGGCAGATTTTGAATTCTTATCGCGGCGTAGTATTTAGTATCGAACGAAGGAACTTAGTTGTGTTTAACGCCGAACCGTGTGACTCATGAAGAGATCGCGTTAGTTCCCTATTTGTAATTTGGTGATAAGTGAATCCGGGACATTGAATGTTGAACTTTAAACTACTGTCCGTTACTGTGTCGGGTATCACGTGTTCGATTCTACGATGAATGTGGAATTAGGCGAGTTTATGTTAGTTAAATGTACAATGAAGTTAATAGACTGAAATAGTGACATGAAGAAAGAAATGGTCCAGCGGGGAAGCCTGCTGGAGTGATGCAGCATTGTGGGGCAGCATGGAAATCGGCCGCTGCCGGTCACCTCAGCTGGGCCAGGTCTCATACACATACACATCACTAAACACTACTTTCCATGCACCTTACACCCACCTACGGCCTGACCGAGAATTGGGGCGGTCGTAGATTCGGATACAGGTACGTACTATATTTTTCTAGCCTTCTCCTTACAGTTTAGTATGATAGGACATTTTTTCATATGGCCATTTGAGCTTGAACCCGTGGCTGCCCGTTGAATATTTTGCTCATGGGCCCCGGGATATTTGATCTTTGCAGGGGCAGCTGTGGGCCGTCACAATTACTACAAAGACCTTTAAATGTCAATAATTTTAACTTGAGCTGTGGTGTCATAGAAAATAAGCGCGCGCTTTAAGTTTTAATACGTGAGCAAACATAGATCTATCATCATCATCATCATTATTACAGCCCTTCATAAGTCCACTGCTGAACATTGGCCTCCCCCATGGAATGCCACAAAGCACGATCCTGAGCCACCTGCATCCATCGACTTCATGCATGTCTCACCAGGTCGTCACTCCATCTAGTGGGGGGACGCCCTACACTTCGCCTATCGGTACGAGGCTGCCACTCGAGAACCTTTCTTCCCCATCGGTTGTCTGTTCTTAGAGCTATATGGCCGGCCCATTGCCACTTCAGCTTACTAATACGTTGGGCTATGTCGGTTACTCTGATTCTACTGCGGATATTTTTTTTTATAGGATTGGGTGACAAGCGAGCAAACAGTCCACCTGATGGTAAGTGGTTACTGTGACCCATAGACATCTACATCTATCCTCAATAAAGACTCAAGATGCAGATGCGTTGTCACCCGTGAGGACTAAGATGAAATGCTTCTTCGTCAGTAAAAAGGGTCTCTGGTTCTCTACACTCACCATACGAAACACAGCAGCGTTAAGCTGCTACTTTACGCTGGTTTTCTGTGAGAGCGTGGTCCTTCCCCGGTCGAGCCGACCCATTCGTGCTACAACTATACTACTAATATAGCTGCAGCATGGCTCTACTCCTCTACTCCTCATTTCTAAGTTTATCACGCAGATAAATTCCGAACAGCTCGCTGAGCGACCTTAAGCGTCCTCATACTGCCAGCAGTGAAGGACCACGTCTTAGACCCATAAGTCATCACTGGTAACACGCACTGGTTGTACAATCTTGTTTTCAGGTTTTGAGATATACCTGACGAGAAGATGTGTAGTAGTTTCCCGAACGCTGCCCAGCCGAGTTGAATACGCCGTTTGACCTCTCGGTCAAAGTTAGACTTACCTAGTCGGACTATTTGTCCCAGGTAAACATACTCGTCAACAACTTCGAACTTAGTGCTCAAAACAACTACCGGCGTAGGTTTTTTTTACAGGATAGGGTGACAAACGAGCACACAGTCCACCTGATGGTAAGTGGTTGCTGTGACCCATAGACATCTATCCTCGATAATGATAAACATGTATCCTCATTAAAGAATCAAAATGCAGTTGCGTCGTCACCCTTGAGGACTAAGATGGAATGCATCTTTTCCAGTAAAATGGGTGTCACATGGACATTGAACATGATTTTTGTTTTGTCCATGTTCATCTTAAGACCTATCCGTTGTGAGATATTATTGTGTCATTAGGCATAGTATTTAGGTTCTGCAGCAATTCTGCCATAAGGACTATATCGTCGGCAAATTGAAGGTGAGTGATGTACTCGCCATGGATGTTAATACCGTATCCAATCCAGTCCAGTAGCTTGAAAACGTGTTCCAATGCAGCGGTGAAGAGTTTCGGGGATATAACGTTACCCTGTCTTACACCTCTCTGCATTTGGATAGCTTTTGTACTCTGATTCTGTACTCGGATAGCCTTCGTAGTCCTACTCCACAAACACTTCTACGCTTCGATGTACCGACAGTCAACTTGGTACCGCTGAAGGGACCGCAGTACCACCCAAATTTCGACAGAATCAAAGGCTATCCCATAGTCCACATAGGCAAGGCAAACCCGCAGATTGTACTCTTCTGTCTCCTGTACAATTTGCCGAAAAGTGTTTATGTGGTCCATGGTACTAAAGCCTTTTCGGAAACCAGCTTATTCGGAAGGTTGGTAGTCGTCAAGTCTGCGTGCGAGACGATTCGTAATGAGTCTCGAAAACAGCACGTAGACGCGGCTCAGAAGGGAAATCAGTCTGTAGTTCTTCAAGAGAGCGTTGTCTCCTTTCTTGAAGAATAAGACCACCGCACTTCTGCTCCACGCCTCCGGTGTAGTGCCACCATGGAGGACGGAATTAAAGAGCTTCTGAAGGATTTCAAGTACCGGTTTTCCACCCGCTTTCAGATGCTCCGCTGTAATTCCATCCTCACCTGGGGCCTTGCCGTTTTTAAGGTGCTGGAGAGCCATTCTAATCTCGCTCAGACTGACGTCCGGGATATCTTTGGAATAGTGTTACTCACACTTACGTGTGGCTCCAACGATGATGTGTACAGCTGCCCATAGAACCTCTTAATCTCACTCAAAATCTCAGATGTTCCGGAAACTATGCTGCCACACTCGTTCTTCAGCTTTAACAGTTGGCTCTTTCTGGCAGACAAAGCTCTGGCAAAACCTTTGGAGCATTGATTCCGCTCGATCGCTTCTTCAATATAAGCTGTATTGAAGTTGCGTAAGTCCCGCCGCATGCATTTGGAGATCTGTCTGTTCAGTACCCTGTATGCTGTCAAATCTGTTGAACAGCCGCTTCGTTTCCTGTCTAACAACCATGAGATTATGATTTTTTATATTTACGCGAACACTACACATTTAAATAAAACTAATTTTACGGATTTTATCACGTATATTAACTTATTTTATATTCCCGACGTTTCGGGCACTTTTCAGCACCCATCGTCACGGGGGGACTGAGGTGTATGACGTTCCAATGTCATAGTTAACCACGGCTACCTTCAGATAAAAAAATATTTATTTTTGTTCCGATCTACGCAGTATGAACTTACAGTATCATGAAGAAATAAAAGACCTACATCTGGCAGACAATGAAACTATGGTCAGTTTTGATGTGCAGTCTCTGTTCACATGCTTACCTGTTGAGGACTGCATCTCGATTGTTACTAGAAGACTAGAGGAAAACAACATGCCCGTAGAATATGCAGTATTACTCAAACACTGCCTTACATCTGGCTACCTATTGTGGAAGGAGGAGTTTTACAAGCAAGTAGATGGAGTGGCGATGGGCTCACCTGTATCTCCCATTGTCGCCGATATATTTATGGAGGACTTTGAGGAGAAAGCCCTGCTTACTTCTCCTGTAAACCCAAGATTCTACAAGCGGTACGGACACTTTCACAATTCTACCTTTAGATAAAGTAACTGCATATTTAGACCATCTTAACTCCTTAAATTCTAAAATTCAGTTCACTATGGAGTTAGAGGCAAATAATTCTTTAGCTTTTCTAGATGTGTTAGTAATTCGGAATCCTGATAATACCTTGAGCCACGCTGTGTATAGAAAAAAGACCCATACAGATAGATATTTAAACGGTGATTCTCAACACCACTCTTCACAGTTTACTACCGTGGGTAAATCTTTGTTTCAGAGAGCACGAGGGATCTGTGACAGTAAACACCTGGCCGCCGAGCTCCAACACGTCGAGCAAGTTTTGCACGACAATAAGCTTCGGGTCCCGCGCCTACGTCACAGTGAACGAGTGAAGCCGGCCACAGTCGAGCGAGTGCCTGCTGTACTGCCATATGTCAGAGGTGTCACTGAAAGATTGGCCACATCTTGAAGCGTGCTTCCATTAAAACATACTTCAAGCCGCCGAAGAAGATTAGTCAGTTTTTACCATCAGTCAAGTGTAATATTGCAGGAGTGTACAAGCTTGGCCCTGCCCCCAGCGAACAAATTGTACGTAAAGGACATCAATGTATTCATAATACGATATGCGTTGTTAAACATATAAAACGCTGACAGTGACAGGCTTACGCACTAGTAACAGAAAGCTTGAGGGCAAGTTATGCTGGACGGTAAGCAGTTTTGAATATATCTCTCGATCGTATCCGATTAAGGTTGGCCCTTGTTTAAGCGCAGTCACGATTGTTTTAAACCTTCTGCTTCGCTGATTGCCTGGTACAGACGACTAAACAACACTACAGATTTAAATTCCATACAAATCTCAATCATCTATCCATCTCTCTATCTATCGATAAGTAGCAAGCCCTTGCAAAGGTTACGACTGCTACTCTCCTGCACTCGCGCTTGTATATTATACATAGTCCATACGCCTGCCTACAAGTCCATGATGTCTGTTCCACGAACTCCTCCCGAATTAATATCCCAAATAAAGACTCCAACTATTGCAGTTCAATATAATTCGGATCCGGCACTGAATAAAACTAATACTACAGAGCCGGTCGATAATTACTTTAACATAACAAAGCGAACAAAACGAACTTTTGGTGAACTCAATGAACAACCCGGATACTCTTCCGAAATTAAGTATATGTTTGAACAGCTCACTGCCCAACAAGAAAACAAATTTGAATCGTTAAATAACACGCTTGCTACCATAATATCTCGAAACCAAACAATTCAAAATTCAGTTGACTCCCTAACTGCAAAACACGACGACCTACAAAAGAAAATCGATCATCTGGAACAAGAGAATAATGAGTACAAAAAGCGAGTAGCAAACCTGGAAAACAGGTTGGATCATCTAGAAAAGAGTGTGCGTTGTTCTACAATTGAGATTCGTAACCTACCTAAACTGGAAGTCGAAAATAAGAAAACATTAATTGACATAATCCACCTAGTCGGTTCGACATTGGGCCTCGAAACTCCAATTCACCAGTCTGAGATTAGAGATATATTTCGAACCAAGTCAGAAGCTGTAGTCGTGGACTTCACCACAAACCTAACGAAGAAGTCATTTCTGGCTAAATACAAATCATACAATAAAAGTAGACGTGTTAACAAAAAACCGCAGTTAAACACAGAGCACATTAAGCTACCGGGCGCGCGTGTACAGTATACATCTCCGAGTATCTAACGACTAAATCTAAACGACTTTTTTACATAGCGCGGGAAACCGTCAAAAATAAGAAGCTTATTGCAGCGTGGACGTCATATGGAAAAGTCTTTATAAGGAAAGATGAAAGTTCGACACCAGTTCGTATTGAGGAAGAATCAGACATCTATAAAATTATCATGTGACTAGTCTTAATACAATATTGTTCGTTCTTTTTATTTACATTATGATGTTTTTATTTTATTAGTTTACTTTGTTTAATTATTAAATATGTTATGTTTCTATTACATTTCAGATTATATCGTTTCCACTGGAATTGCAGAATTATACACTCTAATACTACAGTCACACACAAAACTCACCCCTCACAATCACAAACCTACACTCAGTATACTCAAGAGCGAGTTAAAACTATTAACAGTACTGTAAAACCTAGATCAATAATGCTTGCATTATTTCGCTTACCCGTTATTAACGCTACTCTGTTCCAAATCCTTGCCTTTTCAAAAATACATACATTGTCACGTCACACATTAGACGCGACAATATTTTTATTATCTTTTTACGAAAAATATCCGTATTATGCAAAACATTGAAAATTTAAACCTAGATCTGGACTCAATCCAAGTAGCTAAAACGATAACATTGGTAGAGCCAAGCGGTAGCTTTTGCTGTCGCACGGATGGGCCAGCTCGAACCGGGGTGGTACCACGACCTCACAGAATACCAGCGTGAAGTAGAGGTTTACCTCTGCGTTGCGCTTGGTGAGTGCAGGTGGCCGGAGGCCCAATTCCCCCCCCCCCCCATCAACATGGTAGTGGAATTAAATACAAGACTACCCCAGGAGGGTACCAGCACCCCTGGAGAATCCCTCGCTGAGCATCCACTAACAAACTACTTCACTCCTGAGCGTGGGTGCTCAGGCTGCCCCGCGTATTCTGGGGGGGGGGGGGGGGCAAAATTCCGCTCGTGGCTAATGCTGCTCGGGGCAAGCGGAGCAATACAACCAAGGCGACCCCTGTCACGCTATCCGTGAATTTTTGCAACATCAGGGGACTTCATTCCAACCTTAACGCTGTCCATTACCATCTAGAGACGGCAAAGCCGGCCTTGCTCTTTTTAACCGAGACTGAGGTGTCCTCTCCGGCTGATACTTCATATCTCTCCTACCCGGGATACATATTGGAACACTCCTTTGTGCCCCGGGCTGGAGTTTGTGTATACGTCAGAGAGGACATCTATTTTCGACGCCTCGGCAGCCTTGAAGGTACGGACCTGTCCATCCTATGGCTGCGCGTAGACAGCGACGACCATCCCCGCGTCTACGGGTGCCTCTATAGGTCCCATAGCGGTAATGCCGACACAGACCGACTCATCGACCACGTCCAAATGGCTGCAGACTCCGTGCTACAACAGGTCCCATCCGCAGAGATCGTGATACTCGGTGATTTCAACGCCCACCACGCTGAATGGCTTAGTTCTCGTTTAACCGATCATGCGGGTAGATCTGTCTACGACTTTGCTTTGGCATATGGTCTAACACAACTGGTTACTCCGCCTACGCGGATCCCAGATGTGGAAGACCATGTACCTTCCCTGTTGGACCTTCTGCTGACCTCTCATCCGGACGGATATCTGGTCTCCGTCGATGCCCCTCTGGGCTCTTTGGACCATTGTCTGATCCGGAGCACGGTGCCACTCACGCTTCAATCGCAGTTGCGATCTACAGCTTGCCGCCGTGTTTGGCAGTATAGGTCAGCTGATTGGGACGGGATGCGGTCTTTTTTTGCATCCTACCCTTGGGGGCGGGTTTGCTTCTCGCCGGAAGATCCCAGCCTTGTTGCCGATTCTGTTGTTGATGTGGTACTTCAGGGTATGGAACTTTTTATTCCATCCTCTGTGGTGCCCATCGGAGGCAGATCCCAGCCATGGTTTGGTCGCTCCTGTAAAATAGCATCACGCTATAAGCAGGAGTGCTACCGGGCCTGGGCTGACGCATCAACGTCTCGGGATTTAAACACCAGCGCACTTAAAAAGAAGTATGATTCCGCCTCCAGGTCCTTCAAAAGCATCATTGCCAAGGCAAGGTCTGAGCACATCGGCAGAATTGGCGAGAAGCTAGTTCGCCTTCCTTCGGGAACCCGTGCATTCTGGTCTCTCGCCAAGGCTGTCCAAGGGAACTTCTGTCAGCCATCCCTCCCATCTCTGCACAGAGAGGACGACTCACTGGCCCATGCCGCAAAAGAGAAAGCCGATCTGTTGTGCTATCTTTTTGCGTCTAACTCTACTCTAGATGACGGGGGGAACACACCGCCGACTATCCCGCGATGTGAGTGCTCCATGCCGGATGTGCGATTTACACAGCGCTCGGTTCGCAAAGCACTCTTCAACCAGCCAGCGAATTTTCCGAACCGATACGACTTAGGAACCTTCAAAAAAAGAGCTTACACCTTTTTAAAAGGCCGGCAACGCATCTGCAATTCCCCTGGTGTTGCGGTTGTTCATGGGCGGCGGTAGTCACTTACCATCAGGTGAGCCGCATGCTCGTTTGCCCCCTATTCTATAAATAAAATAAATAAATAATAAAAGATAACGTGCGACATAGAAAATGCAAAGAACTTTATATCTAAAAATTGCGATACTGTTAATATCTTATCTCAAAATATTCGTAGCCTCAATTGTAACATGCCAAACTTCGTCACTCTCCTACAAAGGTCTAAAATATACTGGGATGTATTAGTCCTTACAGAATGCTGGCTACCATCAGCAAAGTTTATACCAACTCTTGACAAGTACAACCATATAGTTACAACCTCTCATAAAACCCAAAATGAAGGAGTAGTTATCTATTATAATAAGCACTTCAATGCAGTATGCGAAGAACCTGTAGTTACAGACGCTAATTGCCTGGAATTAAAATTAGATCAATAAACTTGTATCCTAGGAATATATCGCCCACCAAGCCAAACTAATACATCAAAATTTATTGATTCCTTAGATTCAGTTCTCACGTTTTTAAAAAGCTTTAAAAATATTTTCCTCTGCGGTGATATAAATATTAACATAGTTCCGAACAGTTCTGACAAAAGATCTTATGACTACCTGAACATCCTGGCAAGTCATGGTATGCTCCCAGGTCATACTTTGCCAACGCATGGACGTACATGTCTTGATCATATGATGCTTAAAACTAAAATGGAAGCTCTCTGTTTCGTATTTGAAACATCCATCACTGATCACGAGAGTGTGGCTGTTAGTTGTAGACTAAAACCGCGTACTAATTATTTAAACAAAACTCATTGCGTTTTTGACTTTGATAAACTAGATAAAGCTATGCAAAACTTTAATTTCCAACTTATTTGAATATAATTAATAGAATCAGGCGTTACTTTGCGGAAATCCATTATATAAAAGCTTTTACAAAAATTTACTTCGCAAATATCCGCGTTATAAAATAAAATGATGTGTCTTACCTAGTATGAAGAAGCACCTCCCGCCCTCCCTCAATTGCGTGCACTATCCCCGTCACCACTAATCCCAGCACCGCTACTTCCAACACCACTACACTAGGCAAGACACACCACTGACGATAATACGACACGTGTTTCGCCTCTACACGAGGCATCCTCAGGTGATATAGACTCTACGGTGGCTAACCGCTAAGTGAGCGGCGAGCCAAAACAAGTGCCTTTTATACAAACCGATGATGCAACCGCTCTCTACCTAACGAGCGAGCGATTGCGTCATGCGATAAAACATGCGACCAATCACCGCTGGACTTACGCAGCCGTTTGTAAAATTAAAAACAAACCGCCGCGCAACGCCCACATTATTAGAGAGCAGGCTTGAAGATATTTAAGAGAGGTGAGTTAGTAACATTTGTTTGTTCATTCATCAATGCAACGGTATTATTATTACTTTTTATTATCTCTAACTGTTCCAGCACACACAGCCGCAGCCCTTTACACGTATGTAAGACTTTAAAGGAGTGGTCGTTGGCTAGGTTGTGTCCAGTGTCCAAAAGATGTTTGGCAAAATGGGATTTATCGGGATTGCAATTCCTGTACGCGGCTAAATGCTCTTTATAACGTGTCTCGAAATTGCGACCAGTCTGACCCACGTAAACGGCGTGGCATTCGTCACAAACAAGTTTGTAAACACCTGACTTTTGACGAATATCTAACTTATCTTTACTATTACAGATATTTCTAAGAGAATTGTTTGTTTTGAACGCCACATGAACGCCGTTTTGTCTAAGAGTATTAGCTACTTTTTCAGATATGGGGCCTAAGTAGGTCAAACTGCTCACATATCGATGAACACTTTGAGGTTGAACCGCGTACAGAGAGTTGCGAATAACATGCTTTTGTTTCTTTTTAATTAAATTGTTAATGAGATTTTTTGAAAAACCGTTAGAGACCGCTATTTGATAAATTATATTAAGTTCTTTTAAATAATTTTCTTTACTTAATGGGACAGTGAACAAACGGTTAATGTAACAATAAAAAGCGGCTACTTTATGTTGCCATGGATGACATGATGACGCGGGGATGACCGTGTCGGTGTGAGTTGGCTTTCGATAAATTTGGAAAACATGTGACGATTCTTTTCTTGTTATTGTTAAGTCAAGAAAATTAAGGGAACAATCTTGTTCCAATTCAAGTTTAAATTTAATTTTGTCATGGACTCTATTTATTTTATTGAGGAAAACATCCAGTTGTCTCCTTGTGCCAGTCCAGCAAATAATTATGTCGTCTACATATCGATAGTAATATAAGATATTTTGATTGACAACTATATGTTGTTTTTCGAAATTATCCATGAAAATGTCCGCCATAAGGGGACTTAGAGGGGACCCCATAGCTAACCCTTCTTTTTGTAGATAGAAACGGTTATTAAACCGGAAATAGTTTTGTTTCATACAGAGAGAGGTTAAGTTAAGAAGATCATTTGTTTCCCCGGGATGTAGACGACGTTTTTCAAAGAGATCTGCGAGTATACGCAAACAGTCAGGAGATGGGACATTTGTGAAAAGACTATCAACGTCTAAAGATAACAATATGGATTTAGGAGGAATACGAATATCTTTAATTTTGGAAATGAGATCTAAGCCATTTTTTAGGCTGTAAGTGGGGTTGAATCCAGATTTCTCTCGAAGGAGGAAGTTTAATTTTTTAGCAAGGAA